TGACTTACTATAAACGTTGTATAACTTTCTAGAGCAAAAAAAACGAATGTAGAAGTATAAACCGTGGGTATTAGGCTGTAACTTTTATATATTTTAATTAATGTGTTAACGTCAATTAAACTCAATTTTCAATACAAACATCAGCTATCGGAAAAAAATGGTCTCACTACTGTGGTAAAATCGAGTGGTCTAATTTTTTCAGTTTTTTGCGTAAATTATTAATTATGATGATCAGGAAATCAAAATTGGTAGCTCTAGTATTGTTTTTGTGAAAATAAACCGTAAAAAAGTATTTTTTTTATCTAAAAAGATTTCATACAAAAGTTGTTCAGCATAAGATTACCTACAAAAGAGATCCAGTTACGTTTTAAGCTAAAACGATAACTGCCATACGGAGTATAAAACGTAGTGAAATTTTCGGTATTGTCAAGAAAACACCGCTCAAAAAATATGCCTTACTGTACATATTTTTGTTACACCCTGTATAAGTGACATGGCGATCAATGTGTTAAATAATAAATAAAAATAATTGCAACACAGAGGCAGGGATGTAGGACTACATTATTTACTTTATAAATACTCTTTTTGTGAAATAAATATTATTTATTTTAATTATTATTATTATTAATTGCTTGGGTTTTATGTAAATAGCTTACTTCAAAGCACTATTATTTATAATCATCGTCTTTCATTTTAAATTTGTTGAATTTTAATGTGTAAGTAGTTTTTCTTAAAATATCGAAAATTTCCTAGAGCCGTTATCATTAAGTTTTAGTTAAAAATGTAACTGAACCTTTTTTGTAGGTAATCTTTAGATGAACAACTTTTATTTGAAATATTTTGGGATGAAATGCATATTTCCTGAAAAAAAAAAGTAAAATGTACTCGGTTTTACCGCAAAAATGAAACTATTAACTTATAGTATAGGAGCTCCTTGAAAAATGTTGGGTTCATCACTAGTATGGCTAAATTTTCAAGGAGACGTAGGGTAACATATTGTGCAATAGTAATCTGTCGGCTAAAGCGCCAATTTCGTTTGCGTTTTAAGTTATAAAAAATTGTTAACAATTCAAAAAATTTGCTACTCTCCATCCATCGTTTTTTTGGAAAAATTTTTATACCCGGCTGCCAACCATCATCGTTTGCGTTAAGGGATGGCTGATGGGGTAAAAATTACTATATCGACGTTGTTTTTATACTCAACGCTTTTGTAGTAAAATTAAATACTGTTGGAGAGGTCGCGAAATTTCCAACAAGAAAGTACCCGGCTGCCATGCGAGAACGTTTGCAAAATTTAGGCTGCCGCGATTTAGTGAGCGCACGAATTTCGGTCAAAGAGAATCGCATATTCTTTAAATATTTTATTTTTCTGTTATTTTTATAAATAGATAGTTTAAATGTTATGTTTTCTTGTTTTTTATTGTTTTTATTTTTAATTCTGTAAAAAAGTCCCTGTATATCTAAAGCAGAGGATAAGGTAAATAATTTTCAATAGAAGCAAATAAATAGTCTTTCCGATTTCTATTTAGTTGTTTATTGCAATTTATAAAATTGTTAAACTTTTCTTAATTACAAAACATTTCTTTTAAAAAACAAAACAACTTTCTCTCATGTGTAAATCTTTTTTTGGGACACACTGTATAATAGATTGCGATCGTTAACAACAATATCTGAATACATTTTGATGTTAACGACGTGCTTGATGAGCACGTCGCAATCCATTACACACTGTCCAAAATGTTTTATACAAATGAGAATAGTAGTTTGTGCAACAAGAGTGGATATAATGGCCATATTACACGAAGACGAAATTTGAGCACGACGCCATAGGCGGATTGCTCAATCGTCTGAGTGCGATGTGGACAATCCACCAGTTGTACAGTATCTTTTTTCTACGACCCACTAACGAAAATTTACAAATAAAAAAATATTTTAGGATATTAAGACAAAAAAACTAATTTTAAAATAATTTATTACTTTTAATAATTTTTCCCCATCCGAGAATCGAACTCTAGTCTTCCGTGTGGAAGGCAAGAACGCTAACCAGAGGACCACCTATTCTTTTATTTTTGTTGCTTTAATACTCGTAATTAAATTGACTTCATACAGTTTTATTTAAATTAACAAATTATTTATAATTATAGACGAAATAAAAACAGAAATGCTATTATTTATCGATTCTACACAAGAATAAACCATTTTAATGTATGTTTATTCTCAATAACTAAAAAATATACTGACAATTAGTTTGACAGAATAGTCACTTATTTAAAATTTTAAAAATAATAGCAGTCGGTTCTCACTACCTAGAATGGATATGAAATATATTCGTTCAGTTGAAGGCAATATGGGGGCGTTCATTAATTACGTTAGGTATTCAAGGGGGGGGGGATCAAGGTAAATCTTTCAAAATCTCACTTGGCGGAGAGGGGTCTTTATAAATCTGACGTAATTTATTTCTAGTAGAAAACGGTGTAAAATTGTGTGAAAATAAAGTTAAAGTAAAGTAAAGAATGTTTCTAGACATTTTATATTACGGCAATATTCTCAAATACTAGTCTTTGCTAGTCTTAAATAAAAGTAATAGAACATATTGTGTTCTTGTTTTTTTTTTAATAATCCAACGCATTTACACCCAAAACACAAATTTTGAAAAATCTCACCTGAGATTAGGGGAGGGGGAGGGAGTTGAGGAAAATCTTACGAAGTCTCACCAGGGAGGAGAGGGGGTCAAAAAATCCTTAAAAATACCTCACGTAATTAATGGACGCCCCCTAGCATACGTTTTCGTTTTGTAATACTAATAATAATAATAATACTCTCCCTAATTCACCCCCTTACGGGTGAATTTTAACCTCAAAAGCTGAGCTTGTGCGGGGAAAGGGACGACTATTATTATTATTTGTCGTGACGCTCCGGGGCGACTTAAAGATGATTGATGGTGCCATTTGACTTACAGGTGAGGAAAACCCGGAAACCCCCACCCATGATCATCGAAAACGGTAAGGCATGGTGATTTTATTTTAATAATCTGGATGTCATATCATCAGAAATTAAATTTCTGCTAATATGGCATCCATCAAATCCAATAGAGAATCATGCAAATAAATTCACATGGTCTTCCGTAGGATCTGAAACCGTGTCGTTTTACCAGAAAATTGGCTGACAAATGAATGCCGCGCCGTAGACACCTACACCACCGTAGTCGATAATCTGTGCGTAGATAAGCTAATATCCATGTGGGTGTAGAAAAAAAGTTTTATCTTACAATTAACAAAAAAATTATTCTAAATTACTTAGGAATCCATAATTAAATATATGTTGTAAAATATAGGTATTATACAGGGGAAATAAAAATAGAGGTTTTTTTTTTGGTTATTGAATACTTAAAATCAAGACGAACGTAATAATATTCGATTATGGATTCCCAAGTGATGCAGAACTTTTTATCAAAAATAATTGTTTTTTAGAAAAAAAAACAAAAGTATTTCTCATGTATATAAAACGTTTTCTCATGTGTATAGAACTTTTTGAAGCACACCGCGTAATGGATTAGAATGTGCTCTTCGAACACGCCGTTAATAACAAAGTATATTCAGATATTGTTATTAACGACGTGTTTGAAGAATCTATTATACAGTGTCTCAAAAAAATTTATACACATGAGAAAAAGTTTTGTTAAAAAAAATTGTTCTTTTTAAAATTTCAATACTGAGCAAAATATTGATTAAAATGTTGATAGGAATTCAAATATGTACTTAAAATATTTGCATTTATTTTTAAGTGATTTCAATTTACTTTATTCAATAAAAAATAATAATCCACAAACAATGCTTAAGTGCGTATTTTTAAAAATGTTATGCTTGATTTTGGATTTCCAAGCGATGCAGAATATTTTATCAAGCACCATTTTATTTTTGTGAAATGTAAAATAAAACTTTTTCGCCGTTAACAACAATGTGCGAGGTAAATAAATTGCAATAAACAGCAAAAAACGGCAAAGGGCATTTGGATTTTTTGAACATTATTTGCTTTATTTTCTAAATTAGAATTAAAAAAACCAAAACGAGAAAAAAAAGAAAAAAAAAAGAAAAACAGTTAATTTAAATACTTATAAAAATATCCGATGCGACGCTCTAACTTTGACCAAAACTCGCACGATCACAAAATAAAGACAGCCTTAGTTTGGCAAGGCTTTCGCTTGACAACCGGTTATTTTCATGTTGGAAATTTCGGGACCTTTCCAACAGTACTTAGTTTGACTACAAAAGCGATGAGTGTATAAAAACAATGTCGATATAGTCATTTTCGACCCCATCAACCGCTCACAAAGGATGATAGTCAAGTAAAAAATTAAATTTAATTATTATGTATCGATAGGTTAGAAAAGTCTCCAAAAAAGCGATGGATAGAAGGTGGCACATTTTTTAAATAGTAAATAATTTTTTATAACGTAAAACGCAAACTATATTGGCGCTGATGCCGACGGATTACTATTGCACTATTGCACTATTACCAAACGTTTTCATAAAAAATTACCCATACTAGTGATCCACCAAACATTTTGCAGTGGGTTCCTTTACTATTAGAAATTAGGTGCTTGACAGACTAATAATTGTTTTATTTTACATTTTTTTGCTCTAAAACACTTATATTAATTATCCCAATAGCATGACATAAAGCTTGCAGCAGATTCACATATATGTCACACTTAACTGTCTCATGCTCTCGGGAGAAAAACAGAATTTCTATTAAAGCGATTTTTACTGAAAGATCATAAAAAAATTACAGATAGACATTAAATTTTCATAACAAAAAATACTTTTCTTTCAATAAATATCATTCAAACAGAACTTCTATTAACTTAACACAATAATTGGAAAATAGTCACCAACAAAGCTTTTATTCAATCAAGTTGGCATTATCTAAATATAAACCATCATTTTTGTTTTAAATGTCATTTAAAAAATAAATTGAATAACAACCGAATAACAAAAAATCCTGGAATTGTTTAATAAATAAATACCCGTATTATTAGTATATGCATCATAATTTACAAGCAAAAAAGATAATCTACTTTTTTAGGTATAAAAAAAACATTGCTTTAACTTGCGAAGAACAACTACAGAAACTAAGCTTTATCTTTTTTTGTCCTAAATAAATTTCTATACATTTTTCGACTTAATCTGAACGGACAACCGAATATACCCTCGTTTAGCAAATGAAAATGTCATAATATATCTCAATTTGAACAGAAGTGATAACTGATACAGTGCAAAAAAAACACCAAATTGAATTAACCATGCTCATTGGATCACACATGAAATGTTGCCACGATGACGTCGCTAATATGAAGTTTGGGGTCCTGCCACATCTTCATTGTTCAGACCTAAATAATGTGGATTTTTATATATTTCTGGGAACTAATTAAATTCATATAAGGCTTAGAATGCTAGACAGATTTCAAATGTTTCCCTGACATTTTGACAGTAGTACCAGTTTCAAATGTTTTATTATTTTTACACTAGTGTTTCAAATATTTTCACGTTATTATGACAGTAATTTTACTAAAATACTAAACAAAAACGATTAAAATACTCTTTAGGTATCTGTGGACGTTTTCACCGAATTTGGTTTTTTTCTTGCTTTAAATCACTTCCGTTCAAATCATCTTGTCCGTACATTTTACTGATAAAATTATGTCATTCTAAGACGCGACTGGTCTAAAAACAAACGCTACTAAGACGATATGAATAATAAAAAGTTATAAAAACGAAATAAAAACCCAGATTCTGTATTTCTACTTCGTATACACGGTGTTCGAAAAAATAGAACATCTTGAAAATTATCAAGTTACTTAACTAGGACGTCGAAGTCTTGTATATATACTTAGATTCGGCCAACCTGTGTACTGACGTATCGCCATCCACCTGCAAAGCATCAAACTCCATAAATAGTGATATGTGTGTCTGCGACAGGCCTGGACTGGGAATCTTTCAAGAGGACCGCACGCGCTCCCTATCGCTGAAATTATTTACTGAAATTTTTATCTGAAATTGACACCTATTTCAGGTAAGCATGCTCAGTTACTCTTAGCTAAAACGAAAGCGGGATAAAAATACATAGCGGGGCCCACTCAGATTTGTTCACTTTTTAATCAATATATTATAATAGGTTGAAAATGAGTGGGATGATCTCATCGCCTTCCACTGCGACCCAGTGTAAAGTAAAAAAAAATCTTTTTGATTCACCCTACACAGGGTGTTCTAAAATTAAAGGTAACAAAGACCATTTGAAGATGGTTTTCCAACAATATATTCGAAACCAGTACCAGTAAAAATTTTTTACGCCGTGTCTTAACGAGCTCTTAGACCTAAAAAATTTAGATTTGTAAATTCTACTAATGGTGCATTAAATATTTTACTTTACTTCAAATGTAATAGACATATGGAAATGAGATGGTATACAGACACAAAGGTTCGCTCAAAAGGAATAACAGAAAATTTATTCCATATTTGTGAAAGAAAAATTAAACTTTCACATTATTCCAAATAATTTTTCATGATATTTTGGGTAAAGGTTTCTTATCAAAATTCAAGGTAAAAATTTATTATAATACTGCTACATTAGCAATTCTTTATCAGAATGAAGCTTACTTTTTTCAATTATTATTAAATCCTACAGCAAATAAATGTACAATTCCTGCTGGACCTGAAGTTATTAAAAATATTTAATTTTCAGTAGAGGGAACTAAAATTTGTTTTAATAAAGAAATTGTAACTCTATTTACTCCATAGCTGGAATATGATCCGAGTCTTGCAACGGTTCTAATACTAATATTAGGATCATTTACAAAATAGTTAATAATATTTCCTATATTATAGGCATTTTTCGAATATTTTGAAAATTTCCCTTTTCGATTAATCCATTTTTGTTATTAGGAAAATGGAGGAAAAATCAAGCTCTATCATGGGACGACGCCTATAAATAAAAATGGCAGGTTAAGGAAAGGTTGAAAACGAAAAGCTATATCAACATGAAATTTTTTGGGTTAGAATATTTAAAAAAATCCTAGTTCAAAAATTAAAAAAAAAAATGATTGAAATTAAAAAATAATAAATCAAAAATGAAAAGCGATATCAACATGAAATTTTTAGTAAAAATTAAGCTTGGGATATACCCTGATAAAATTCCTGGATGGTGGGATTAACTATAAGCAGAACGAACAGGACGAATTCAAAAAAGTACTCATAATTTACAATATAAAAAATAACAATAAAACTAATAAACACAAGTAAATTTAAAAATAAAGAGATTTAAGAAATGATAGTCAAAATCAATCCCACACAAATTGTTTAATATTTGAATTACATGGCAACCGGTTTCGGCACTAAATCCATCTTCAGGCTTGTAAATACAACTTCAGATGTGAACATCAAAAGGAGATCTTTAAACTAACATATGTTCATTTCAGGAACCATCCTAATGGAGAAGTTGCTTAGGTGCAAGGTGAAAATTATTGGGACAGAGATATTGGTGGGGGAAAAAACTTCAAATAATATATCGAAAAACACACAATTAATAAAAAAATATATGAGTAAGATAAATATGACTGCTTCAAGATAGAATACAGCTCGTGCCAAGGAATGAGGAAGGAGGGACCCTCTCTGGGATTCAACGATTGTCCTAGATTTAAAAATATGTAAAATATTAACAGTATGATATTATTTAAATAAATTATAATATTACAAAGAAATATATTATTTAAGGGCATAGAAAATAAAAATGGAAATATAACACTAGATTTCTATATTTTAAGATATATATGTATATTTTTTTAAATATTTTAAATATACATAATGTACCATGAAAAATATCAATTTCTGTGAGGTTAGATAAGTTATTATAACTTATGATACATCTGTGAAAAGGGAAATTTAAGTAGTAGTTAGCAGCACACTGTTTAGAACAAAATAGTTGCTTTTTTCTGACATTGTGAGATTGTATACAGTATCTAATACTGTTTAAGATTATTTTTACAAATACTATTTAATCTAAAAATAGTATAATCAAGATAAAATAAACTACTGTGTGCTTTTAAACCTTAAGCTGACCCTGGATATTGGTCATATTACCACCAATTATTTATAAATGTAAAATTCGTAAAAAAATAAGATTAGGTAAGCAGATTGTATTATGATTGACTGAAGTTATTCAGTTTGTGTGAATTATCACAGTATTTTGGAAAAATTAAAAAATGTACAGATTGTTTGCAGACAGGCATTTTATTTGTGGGTTTTATGGCAATCCGAGAGCAGAATGTTTTCCAATCTTCATAGAAAATTAGGCGAAAAACGGGAATAGTCTTCATTTTTACAATTTATTGTAGATAAACTTTGTACGTTTAAATGCATGGCGTTCTTTAAAACGCTATTCCTGGGAAACTATCCATCTTATCGAAGTGAACTGAGGGTACCTCTTTGTCATAAAAAAAGTTTGATTTTTATAAGTATGGTCTGGTCTCAAAAATAATAATATGTAGAAGATATATATTTCTGTTATTTTTTTACACCACTCTCCCCTAGTTGTGGCGTCCCAGTTAGAAAGATAACATTTTTAAACTAGTTGTCACATTCAGAATATTAATTTTAAGAGAAATCCAAATTTTTAAGTATTCGAAAATATCACCAGAAAACCATCTTCAGGGGGCTTTTTTTAGGAACTTTATGCCTTATTTTCATTTATATAATACTTTGTTAAAATATCGACCTCTAACTTTGGAACACCCATTTAAAAACAACAGAATAGGTGGCGGCTAAAATTGGGATGGAAATAAACAAAAAAATGTTTCAACCAAAATGACAAAAATAAAATCGAATAAATAATCAAAAAATCTGAGGGAATTATATTCGATGATCAACTCGCGTACGAGAAAAAATCAGTCAAATAATTCCAGCTTATTTATTGCGCTTTTTTTGAATACTATAAAAAAGAATGTATGTCTTAAAACTACAAATAAGTTACGTGTTCTAGTGCAGGCAAATATATTTCATTAATCCCGATAATATTCACCCTACTGCATAAATTAATCATTAACACTAATAATAATAATAACAACAACAATAAACTTGATTCCTACTGCTCCCAGTCCAGTCCTGTTTTTTTTTATATTTTAAAAAATTATTAGAAAACAGTTACTCCCTATGAGCACAAAAAATTGCTTCGAGCTACCAAAAGCAGCCTGATTAAAAAAAACAAGTTTAGCAATAAAATAACTTAAAACATAAAATAATAGAAACAATGAAATCAGGAAACGATGATAAGAAAGAAGATGAAAAGACTGAAGAAAGATTAGCAAGTATTGTTCTATTATTCCAGGACGAACCTTAACTGCAGTTCTATCACTATTTCAAAGTTGAACTAAAAATATGACAAATTGCTCTATTCAACTGGTGAAAGATGGGCCAGGCTTTCCGCCAACAATAGTGAGATTGATAAAATCACTGATCTCTCCTTTCACATACTTCTGGTGTGGTAGGTTTGCCTGAGAAAATTTTTTAAGAGAAACAAGAGCTAGAACAGCACATAAACACAGGCAACGTAATTGCAGCGATGACAGTAGATGAAAACATCCACAACTGGATCATGACTGTAGGGAAAAGAAAGAAGATGAAGAAAGAGTGGAATTAATATACCAATAGACAACTTACTTATGCAAGACGAAAACCAGCAATAGTACTGGCATAAAAAGGAGTGAGAGAAATTTTTAGTAGGCAGAAGACATCTTGAGTCCCACACCGCTGAAGATCGAGCAGGGTGTGCATAAGAGCATTTTACTATACAAAAGGTGCCAGGGATGCACGCTGTTGTGGTGCCTTGTGCTCAATTATTGATGAGGAAAACTGCTGCATAAAAACAGAGATCTCGTCTTCAAAACGAAAAGAAAAATAGAAGGCATCAACCAAGCAACAAAGTAATTTCAAGATCATTAACTGATCAAAAACGGTCAAATATCTGGATGTTATCATAAACAAAATACCACATATTGAAAAACTGATCCAAGAAGTCCCAGGACCAATTAGCGGTTTTAAGCAACACCTCAAAAAAAGCAATTTTAACCAACTGCAGCCATTAGATTGTACTAGTACGAATCATGCGATGCGTACGACTTCCACAGCTGCCCTAAAGGCTATAATAATGTTTCGTCCCCTTCCCTTGTAAGCTTGAGACATCCTAGATGATCAAGATTAGATTATATTAGATTTAAAAGTGGGACATTATTTGTCCTTTTCACTTCTATTATTGGGACTCCGTTATTTAGGGTATGTCGTCTAGCTTGGTCTTTTTTATTAAAATTAGTAGCTTTGACAGTATCTGCATAAGGCTTTTCTTCACCAAGCGTTAGAAAACTCAACCCAGCCAGGCCTTCACACATGCACAGGACGTGGATTGATGTTTCCTCTTCTTCTTTTTCATAGAACCTGATTGCTTCTGCTGGACTGATGACGTCTGGAAGGAATCCTAACGATTTGTCCAGTAGATCTATCGTGAACTTAGTCAAAACGATTCCTTAATGAACTATTTGGCCTGCTTCAATCCTGGATAGTTATTTCACCATACGTAAGATTCTTCTTGCATCTACTGTTTAATGGATGTCATGCACAATGCCTTAGCAATTCCACAGAAGGGTTTACCTGAGCCTTCTCGGGCTAGTTCATCGAAATTTTAATTGTGTTGATATCCATCGTGGCCTGGTACCCAGGCTTATATCACTTTGTTTTGAGTACTTAGCTGTCAGATCTTTCAATCAGTCGTTCACCAGCTTTGATTTGATTTCTGGCGAGAGAATTTTCTTTAGAGCCGTAAAGTTTAATAGTATCTCCATGGTTGCAGTTGGTGTAGAACGCATGGCCCCTGTGGCACTTGATAA